GCTCAGGGTATCACTAAAAATAAACAAAAAATTCCATTCAAGATACCACAGCGTTCACCTTGAACTAGATGGGCACACTGTTGGAGATATTCGAAAAGCTCGTCGCGGCTGATAGAAGGATCTACTAGTCTGGCTATATCAGCCGTTGCAACGACCCGTGCTAAAATCAGATAGCAAATGGAAATAAAGTAAACTGCGCCTTTTTTGAAAGCGAAAACGCATTACATTAGGCTCCGAATATTCAAAAAGTGAAAGAAAAACGCCTACATTTGAAAACCTGGGCTTTCACTTGTTGATCAATAGGCATTTCTCGAATACGTTGATGAGTGACCAGAAGTTCGCTTCTAGTGAGATCACTGTAATCGAATACAGCAAATTTCTTCCACTTTAGTCAGTACTTGAGCAGCTGGACCTACATTTGCTCTCTTTCACCACAAATGATTCCGCGTTCTACGAGATCTCTTGTTGTGACAGTTTCTGCGGATTCAGATTTCTCCGGCGGAAGTGTGGTCATTCGAGAGAACTTTTCAATAAGTGCAGGATCCTAAAACACGACTGTCAGTGACAGATCATGACCGATTCTCGGGCTCCAAAAGAGAAGTGGAAAACCGACAGCATTTGAAAACATTCGATCAAACCTCTTTCAAGTGGACATTCATTGGTATCCATGAATCGCTGGCAATTAACTTCTCTCTATGAAGTGCACTTGCTTCTCTCCTTTTCTTCTGCCGTTCCGTTTCTGGCCTTGTGAATTTCACGCGTATCTGTGTAATCATAGGTAATGTTATCATAGGAATAATGCTTGCGCATTGAAGGCAGTTGGCACGGCGGCGAGGGCGGCCAATTGTTGCCAACAACGTTGGTGGAAGAGCTGCGACAGAGCGTTTGCCCTTACCCCTATCCGCTCCTCCACCAATGCCGGTGGCAGCAGGCGCCCGCCCCCTGCCATCATGCCAACTGCATTTAACTATGACCCTGCGTCTTTTCTAGAAAAACGAAACACAATTTTCGGTAACTGAAGGAAAACAAATGACTGCAGTTTTATAGAATGTCAGTCACAGATGAACATACGGGTTGGAAAGTACATGCTTTTTACCCAGAACGAAAGGACTTCTCAACGGATCCAGTGACTACTGATGAAAGCTGGATACTCTATGATGAAAGCTGGATACTCTGTGATAAAGGTGGACCTGTAATGCATGGCTCCTACCACAGCGTGGAGCCAGCAATGTACCCAAAGTCAAAACCTCACCAGCGCTGACATCTTCTTCAATTTTAATGGGATAAGATGACACACCGGCGTAGTTTCTGCACATATCAACCAAATCCGGCAAATGTTTGGGCCAATTCAAGAAAAGCGCTCAGGAGAACTGAAGGTGTACCTACAGTCAGCTCGAGGCGGGTCCAGACATCCGTTGCACATCCGGAATAAGCTGGCTGGTCTCCCCAATCTCCTCCAAACCTTATGGTTTCTGACTACCAGTGCTAAAGTTTCATTCCAAGGAAGAGAAATTAAAATTTTGAAATGATATCAAAATGATAGTCAATGATTTCTCTGTGTCACAGCCTCCTGACCTCAAAATTAGCATAATAATTAACCAAAAGGCGGAAGACGCTTCACCTGCCCGCTTTTAATTTACTGGTAAAAGATTTGTTGGTTTGAAACAAAACTGGTGGTTTTAAAAATAATGTCGAAAATTGGGAAAAAGTTTTTGATTTGTGGTCAAGTTTCCTTGTTAACCTAATAAGAGCGTGTTATAAAGCGTTTGTATATAGAAATGTTATAATTACCTGTTTAGCACTTGTGCCAGCGGCCTCGGTGTCCGACTCACCAGTCATTTCTCCTAAAAAGCATATTTCGTCCAAAAAAGAACCATATGATCCACAACTTTGACAATTGTGAGCTGAATGAGTCTACAACTGCAGTAGGGCTTCATTCACCGCTCAAAAGTGCACAGGAACGGGTTGGAAGGTACTGATAAAGGATGCACTTCCATACTCCGCTCGCGCTGCTGCACCAGCCAGACGCTTGACCATGGCCCCAAACGTGCGAGTTGTCTGAACCCTCGGAGCGCGGGCGGAGTATGGAGACGGCACCGTGTATCACTACTCTCCAGCCCATTCCTGTTCATCTTCAAGCGGCGAAATTGACTCGCGCTGTTCGCAGCGGTGGACGCACACACCTAGCACATGAAGGAATTTACTTGAGGAATAAGTCTAGTGTAGAAAAGAGCCGTTGGGTAGTTAAAGCGGTGTTCTCTTCTGTCAATGCTTTTCAGTGATGGCGTAAGCATCCCAGTGTGGTGGTACATTTTACAACAAAAGAAAAAGTCTAGTGTCAAGCGGCACACAGGACAAAAAACCTGCTAGTTTACAATGAACAGCTTTGTAGAACAGGAAGTTTACCTTCATCGTCATGATCTCCTTTGCCAGCATTGTTGAGATGAGCAAGTGAGCGATGCATGTCGAAGGTTCCCGCTACTGGATTTATGTAAAACGTATCTGAAGCAGCTCGTTGTCACATACTTCACACAAAAGTTCATTTACCCACATCACTGGAAATGAAAGCATTGCGGAAAGTTACAGCCAACAAGAAAGAGATCAATCGAAGTTGCCCAGCAGCTGTTGGAAGAGTGTACATTTCACGGCCTCTTTTCCAAAGTTTGGATCGAAATTTCGACCTTACTCAAAGTTTACCATTCTGCGCATTTTGCCTGCTCTCCCAGCAAATTTTTCAGGCGTAAGTATGCTTCGCGTTCCTGCCGAAAACATCTTAGATGGCCAAAATTCGGTAGAGCTTGTTGTTGGGATATTCAGCTTCTGAGGATAAATTCTCAAATATCTTGCATGACGGAGGTGGTGTAGTGGAAAGCGGCACGCTTACCACGCGCGCGTCAGAGGTCAAATCCCGTATAGGCTCTCGCCCGGGCACATAAGCCTTTCATATTCCTCGAAGATATAGTAAAAATGTTTAGGAGATAAGAATACTGACTTGCTACATCAACTGACCCCGCAAATTCTTGTGTGGCCAATGCGGCATTTAATGCAGTTTCGTTTTTGGATGGAACTAGAATGCGTGGCGCATCTCACAAAGGATGGATCAACGGCGAAGACTTTATTCCCTATCCATTAGAATTTCGTCATCCTCACCTTGTAAGGCCAATAGGACTTGAGTGTTTCTAGAAGTATAGTGCATGACTACACCGAGGTGGGGAACGCTACACACTCCGGAACTACTTCAAAAAAGTGCTTATCACACCTTACCTCCTCTAAAATAACCGAGTGCGAACAGAACAAAGTCATCTTTCACGTACGCTCGGCCTTCGTAGACTTCATCAAATTTAGAATAAACAAAAAAAAAAAAAAAAATTGGGCTCTTAAATAACTTACTAACCAACTAACTAAACTAACTAACTTACAACCTAACACTTACTTACATGACATTTTCGCTTTTAACATTTGCAGCAGCCATTGTGGCAAAACGTTCAGCTTTTGCCTTGTCGAATGACCCACTTGACACATCAGGAGCTAATCGAACTTCCATCTGGAAAAAATGACATAGAAGTTTTATAGAAGTTTCAAAATGTGATCGTGGTAAACTTCTACAATGAGGATCAGGGTAATCAGCAGTAAAAAGGATAAATTAGTGCTAAAGTAATAGTCACAAGAGCACTCACCCATCCTGGACCATTTTCTTATTTTAGCGGACACGAGGCTGTCTTACAGAAATCAAATAGCAATCGATCGCGCTTTCTCACCGGAAATGAAGCGGTAAAGCTCAGTGTTGCGGCAATCATTGCTGCAGACCACGAATCAACTGTAAAAACGACAGATTACTTGAGTAGGAGAAAAGGACACTGTAAAGAGTGACAACGAAGATGCATCGGCTCAATTCAAACTCAGTTATTGAAACTCAATAAGACTTTCGTCCAAGCGTCTTGGATCGCTTTCAAATTACCAAAACGAGGGGTCTCATTAGGGTTTTCCGAGTAAAGTGGGCAGATGCAAAAAATAACACTGCAAGGCAACAGTGCAGGGGATGACCCATGCGCTCGGGCTAGCCCATCTGGAGGAAACGAATCACATCTGAATCAAAAGCGCTCAACCAGTGGACTGAGAAACTCTTGGAAGCAAGTAATAAGCCGCTTTGAAGCTTCAAATTTTAGACGTGCCCGTGCGCGATAACGCGTCAGCACTGTAGGTGGTGGTGGCAGGCTACCCTCCACCGCAATTTCCTAGTCCACCCCCCCCCTCCCTCACTTAATTGAATACTTTTCTTAACCTAGCTCTCCTACGGAAATTATCGGTGCCCAACAAACGTGATATTATCAGGACTATACCAATGGGAGTGTTAAAACGCATACAAACTAAAAACAACCGATCTATCTGCACTAGAATTTACAGCAGGGGACACATGTAGTCGTAGCTCAAACCCGCTGTAAGGTTATTGCAAATTAAGAAACACGCTTTTGCGACCGGAACGACCAAGATTACGCAATGTCTTGATCTCCTCCCTTCGAAAGATCTGAGCGGGGGAAAATTGGTCGTATTGATTGATTTTGAAATTCCGGGCCTCCAGCTGGATAGGCTACGTAACGTATTCTGAACTTTCTGCTGTTTCTACGAGAGCGTTCAGGTGCCACAAAAAGTCAATTTCTTACAGTCGCAAGATATGAATGGGGCTTTTGCCTAGGTGGAATTGTTGTTAGTAAAACAATTTAGATAAGCAAAGCAACATGGTGCTGAGTCAATTAGAAAATACTGCAGGCGGAAGGGAGTAAGAGCAAGTGGACAACTCACTACGCGCGCGGCCCGTGTATAACATCCCGGATCGGCTCCAGTCTAGACCAACTCAGCCTTCCACCCTCTGGGGACAACAATTTGGCACCAGATTCGTCTGGGAGGAAAAGAACACTGACTTCTACATCGGCTGGCCCGAACACATCATTTTAAGGCCTTATTTGCATTCGAAGAAGCTACTACGATACTCAATGGCAACCAGAATGCCGCGCCAAAAAGGGATTGGTTAGAGGCAGCGCCTCTATCCTAACTTGGAAATATTGAAACATAATTGTGACAAGGTAATTCAATCATACTATTTATCTCTCCTATGTGCATCGAGACTTCACCCATACGAAGGACATTCGACAGATTCTCCATGGATGCCCCCTTGTTTTTGTAGATCAAGAAAAAGCTGGAAACTCGCCTCCATGTCATCCTGCTCATCTTCGTCGTCCGACTCTACCCTTTTCACTTTCTGTGTCTTTCTTTTCTTCACCACAATGCTGTCGTCATCTTCCATGGCGTGGGAACCCAGTCCGATGTAGGTCGGGATTTCAATCAGGAAAACCTATCTCTGAAAAGGCACTTTAACACGACTGCACACAGACCATCGGGAAATTAACGGGTCAGACTCGAAAATACAAACCCCAGAAGGTGGAACACATTATAAGACTTAGTTTAACAAAGGAATGCGAAAAGTACAACGCTGGGCGAAATGTTTCCCATGGCGAGAACTTTTTTCTTACGACTAAAAGTGTTGCCTGCAATTACACACAGTCAACATCATTTAACGCTCATAAACTGGACAGTGTAGGAACGCAAAGCTTGTGAGCTTCTTCCTTTAATAACTTTCAAAGCTTCACATTTTTGGATTCCTACCTTGTGGAAAGGTGCTGGAAATGTGTGGTGTTGAACCTGTTTTCTTCCTCTCGAAAGATAGTTAACTCCAAAGTATTGTTGATTTTTTCGATGACGATTCAGTAGTGAGGGGTATGAGGCTCCACGTCAGTCTTGATTTTTTTTATTATTAGGCTTTTTTTTGCTGGATGGTTCGACAGACGTTCCTTGCCCGGGTCGCACTGTCTGCTGCGAATTTTAGCCAGAAAACTGGCTTCGGCCCCAATCGTCTCTACAGGAAAGGGCTTCACTTTGTTGGAACTGAACCCGATGCCTTGAAATATCACTTGGTAAGTGTCCTCTTTGTAAAACTGTTCTCGTTACTGCGTTCAACCTAAGAAATTTTACTGCAGTTACAAGATAAAAAGCCAGGCGAACCATACGGACTGCAAGGATCAAACCATTTGCTTCCAGGCACTGGCAAAATACATTCCAAATTGCCTGTTAAGGTGAGACTCTGCCGCTTATGTGGTGCCGCTTATGAGGGCCTGAATTTTCCATACTCCTCATGATGTTTTTATGCATTTGCAGGTTCGAATGAAGAAGGATAAAGTCTACGCCTGGTGTAGCTGTGGATACAGTGGGAATCAGGTCATCTTTTCTAGTCACTTGTTCTCCTTTTCCATCTTACATTTGTGATTCATTATCGTGGTGAAGGGGAGGGCATATTTAAGATTTTAGAGAGCGATTTTATTGGTTCGCATACGTTTCGAGCGTGCTTGTGCGGTAGCGCTATTCTTTGGTTGAGCTACAAAGAATAGGTGCTACAAGGGCTTATTTTTCCAAGTTGCTCCTCCATTGCCAATTCAGCTGTATACCTGTAGCATGGAGGGAATCTCAGAAATGATTTTTTAATATGAAAAAATCTAAGCCAACAAACCCAAAATGCTGAATGTGAATAACCACAAGAACAGTGATAAAATCTCACTAATAGTCGCGAGGTAGAGCTAGCAAATGTTCTCTGGAATGCTTCCAAGTGTCGCGTAAATGGCTTTTTTGTCGCAAAAATTCGCCTGAACATGGTTGAAGAAGACAGGTTTCATATACTGAGAAGATTTAGCGCCGTGGTAGATATCTTTTGAAATTAAAGACAGCTCCCGCGATAAAAGTCTCATGGATAGCTGCTTTCCAATTATGAAACAGTAGCTGATAAGTAATCTCCCAAAGAAGAAAACAGGCAAGAAGCGTCCTCCAGAACAACATAAACAAAATCGCTCCCTCACAGTCACACCTCCCTGCGGTCTCTGTGCAACCCCTAGCTCACAAATCTCTCTATCACATCTCGCAGTAGTTGATATCATCCAGTGCAAAAAAGAATACAAAAAGAAAACAACAAAAAC